AAAAAAAAAAAGAAAGAAAAAAGAAAAGAAAAAGAAAGATATGAAAAGCAGAAACCCATGCATACTCTGCTCAAGTTACATGGATTAGAGAAATAATTCACACATCCAAAAAAAGTCCTCACACTAATAAACTAGAAATAATTTATTTCTCATGATTTCTTAATCTTTATCAATTTACCTCAGTCCTTAAGAAAACTTTAATTACAATTTTTTTTCCTCCAACTCCATTTAAATTCTTGGCTTCATATTTAAATTCCCATGGCTATATAGACCTATGCAACATCTGGTTTATAATTATCATTATCGTCCTCATAATTTTCATTATCATTTAACATTAGCAAAGCCCTATTTTTACTCCATGGGTTGTACACTGAAATCTCTCCATAAGTTACCTCATTCATTCCTCGTGAGAATTATAATTATTATTGCTGCTCAAATAAGGCAATTGACAATTTGAGAGGGTAGGTACTGCCCTGATCCACTCAGCTAGTAAGAGTGTGACACTTCAATCAGTGGTCTCGTGCCTCATCACCTGCACAGGCAAGCAGATGCATTTTAACCTTTTAATTAGAGCAGCCACCTACAATCTGTTCTTATGCAGAGAATTAAACCAGACCCAACAGAGAATGGAAGAGGATATGCAAACCTCTTCCTACACATTTCTAGCCCTCAGGATTCAGCAATACTAAGCAGGAGGTTTGGAAAGACCTGGTTCCAATCCAACTCCAGAATTCACAAAGGACTGTGAACCTTAGATTTTACATTTGTAAAACAGAGGTCTAAATGTCTGTGTCACACAGTTGTTGGGGGGATTTGATGAGCAATCGTTTGTCCAATGTCCAGCTGAGACTAGGACATAGCAGGTGCTAAGGCACAGGTGTGCTCTCTTTATCTACAGGTGGCTGACATATTAACTGATAACAGTAAACACAATCACAAACAAGAATAGTACAAAAAGCCTCCATTATGGTTTTTTTTCAAAAAAGCAAAAGTATTTAATTTACATATCCTCTTCATATTCTTCAAAAGAAGTAAACCAATTTTTGTTTCTATCTCCAAACTGAGCCAAAAAATTGATGGAATCAGACACAGCTAGAAATATAACCTATAAAGCTAAGCTTATTAATAAAAGTAGGTAGGATAATAAAAAAACATATCTAGGATTCTTCAAGCAAACATTTTTTCTCTAAATTTCAGCAATTTCCTTTAAAATCAGCATTATGTATAATAAATAAATTACTAATATCTATAAGGAGTAAAAATTTTAAATGGTGCCAAAAGATTTAAAATAATTTTTTTTTAAATTTGAATAGATTAGGGCAGGGGATTTAGCTCAGTAGTTCTGGTGCCTGCCTCGCAAGCACAAGGACCTGAGTTTGATCCCTGGTACCAAAAAAAAGAAAAAAAAACTTGACTAGATTAAGCAGTCTGCGAGATGGGTGGCAAAGGAAATTAGGAGTGCTCCAGCCGGAAATTCTGGTCTTCTGGGAGGTCTGATCCACTCTCTCGGTGTGGTGCTCATTGCCAAGAGCACGGATGATGGTGGCACGGAAGACGAGAGGCCTTGTGAGAGGAGGAGACCAGGAGGAGAATTAGCAGCTGTGTCAATGCGCCTTCCGAACACCATGGGGCAAAGCTATACTCAGAGAAGAAACCCACAACTCTGAGATTCTGGAACTGGGTGAGACTTGGTGGATTTCTCTGTCCAACTCACTGACATTTCCTGTCATTCGGAAGCTCAAACAATCATCTCTGACAAGCTTTGGATCCAGCAGCTGAAGTCACAAAACCAGAAGATGATATAACAGATTTTACTTCAAGTTCAAAGATAGGACACTTGATAAATGAAAGATAATAAAGTTAGAACTATTAAATGGTTTATCAAGACATAGTACTGGCTAGAAATTCTGTACATGGTCATCAAATCTAACCCAACTTTTAGAAATTATTTGAAGAGAAGCTAGAGTGAGGAGCAATAACTTTATTGCATAATGTATTTATATAAGAACACTAAAGCTGCAGTTTTCATACTGAATGCCAGTTCTTTGGGCCACAAGATGAGTAGGACACACCTGTGCTAAACACAACTTAGCAGCCACAGAGAAAGGCCAACCACATCTCCTAATGAAAAGTTACAGGGACAGTGTGGGTGCTGGGAGTATAACTGCTTGAGTTGGAAATGCACCAGGATATTAACCATAGTTGCTTTCATAATGAAAACTCATCAGATTCTCAAATCT